CCACTTTTTCCAAGCTGAAAATGTCTACCTCTGTGCTTCAACCTTTTGCATCTTATGTTGACTTCACACACTAAAGAAACACGTGAATCCGGCATGGACACAATCCTGGGGCTCAGACCCCACTTCACTACCACCGAGACGTTTATTTCTGGTGAGAACAGGGTTTACAGCAGCCTACTGCTTGCTTCACATGGCAGCACCCACACGCTGGGGCTCTCATTTCTCTGTGAATATGCATGTTTGCGGGATCAGTGTTGGTTTTCTTTTTTCACGTAGAGCACAGGGTCTCCCTTTACACAGGCTGGGAAGGCTGGAAAGATTTCCTCCGGCCCCTGGCCATGTCTGTTTGAGAGAGCAGAGAAGGGGCTAAAGCTGCCCCCCTCTCAAACAGCAGAGCAGAGGATGTCAGCGCTGCTCGCAGTGGGCCCTGAGCTCGGTCAACCTCACTTTTCAGCACAAAGCTCCCGAACTTTGGTGAAAGCCCACACACCAGTACCCCGTCCTCCATGTGCATGTGGTTAAGGGTGGGTGGGGAAAAAGTAAACTGTTAGTAACCTCTCATAGAAACATACTTATCTTTGGTTTTAAGCTCCATGAATGTTCGGTGGGGGTCAAGGCCTGCTCTTCTGCCTGGCTACAGCTGCTCCTGGAACCAGCCAAATGGAAGCAGGAACACAGAGGCCATGTTCGGAGGAAGGACTTTACCCCTCCCAGGCTTGTATTTTGTTATCTGGGTGAGGCTGCATTAATTGGGAAAATGCCAGCTTTCCTGTCCTGAGCCTTTTTTTCTCCAAGCTGTCCTGTTGGGAAGGGGGAGTAAAGCACAACCACCTGCTACCCAGAGCCAACAGCAGCACTGCAGGCGCAGCCCAGACTTCTCCCACACACACACACACACACACATCCATTCTTTCCTTCAGGGCTCAGGCTCCAGCGGGACCGAGCCTCTGTCCCACCTCCCTTTTCACAGAGTGGGATCAACCGCCTGCTCCAGGGGACTGCTACAACAAAATGTTTACAGTCTGGCAACTTCCAGCTCCCACTGGCAGAAGTGGGGGTGCCATGGGGCTCTTCTCCCTCAGCTCTGAGGTGGCTGATGAGTTTCGCAGGGCAATAACGCTCTTCTGTTCAGAGCTGCAGCTAGGATGAGGGACTCGCTGCTCTCCCCATGCCAAATGGAGAGCCAGCAAAGGCTAGGCTTAACTTTCCCGCCAGTGCTTTATTTTCAACCTGAGCCCTTACGGGGCAGTTGTGTGAACTTTGGCCAGTGGCCTTTCTCTTCGGTAACTTTTATTTTTTTTGTCTGGACAATCTTGGTGCTGTGAGTGACTGTGATTGTAAAACTTGGTACTGTGAACTTTTCCTATGTGATGTGAGATGTGTCAATGGGATGCTACGTTCCTGGCCAAAGGAGGTGCAGTTACAGGTATATTATGCTTGTACAGATTTTTGTTTCCTTGCACCTCCCTTTTTCAGTGTTAAACAGATAGTAAAACCTCAGTATTATTTCAGAGAGAATGAGATGATACCTGTACTTAGGAATACTCCATACTACAAACAGCTGAAAAAAAACCCAAACAACAAAACCAAAACCAAGAAAAAGCTCCCTACAAAATTTGCCAAAAACAAGGCTATGGAAAAAAAAAAGCTATTCACCCCCAACTATGTCTTGCTGCTCCTATGGCCAAATTCACGATAGCACCAAAGTGCATAGAAAATCCCTAGTGCACTGAAGTGTAAGCATAGTTGAGACACTAGAAGAATCACAGCAGAACTATTAACAAGTCGTACTTCAGTACCCCATCGTAGCACATAACAAAGTTGCTGTTTCAACAGTGAGTGCCTTTTTCCATTTAAGACATTGAGAAAATGGCAGATTTAAAATTTATCAAGCCACAGCATATTCAAACCATTGGCAGTGAAATCACAGGTCCAATTTGTGGATGGATGCGAAGGCTACGTGGGGCAGATGACCCTGCAAAACGATGCTTCTGTCATGTAGAATTCTTTTGTAGAAAAAAGTGGTTCTCCCTAGTGCCATGGTTTCTAGGTTGTTAGCAAGTGTGCTGTTTGGAGAGCATAAAGCTCTCGTAGTAGTTGGCTGTACAGAAGCCCCCTTGCAACTAAAAGGGCAGCTCTGCTGCCACTTCAATTACTTACTATGGAGAAACATTTAAAGCTCTTCCATGTCGTGTTTATAAGCCTGCTCCACCTTTTGCATTCCCTTATCCTTGGCAATTGAGCTCTCACTTGCATTTAAACCCTTTTGCCACACAATAGATCTGTTTGCAGAAGACAGAGATAGCGGTACCATTAAAGTGCAAACAATACCTCACCTGATGCACCTTGTGCACCTACTGTATATTTTGCCAACATTAAACCACTGGTCCAGGTCAGCAACACTTTGCTAAACAAAGTTGTGCCATACTAAGACACGTATTCTTGGGATTCTGTTACAGGCCTTGGAACACAGCTATTCAGCATTTTATTGCTCTGTTTGCTATCCTGACAGAGATGACTACTCCCGGGAAGAGAAACTGAAATGAGAGGTAAGGCCTGTGGCTAATGGACACATAGCATCCCCCTGGCATTAATCAGAACTTGTATTTTTTAAAAAGCAAGATTGTTAAAATAAAATTAGAAACTTGTGACTAATTTTCCTCTTTTCTTCTCTCCTTTGAGGCTTGCTGGGCTATTCAGTTTTACATTCAGGGACCAAAAGAGGCACTGAAATTACTCCATTTCCTCATATTGGAGTGCTAAAATAATGTCTGGATTTCCCCCCCACCAAATAAATTTCTTGTAAGTGAAAATGAATTCCAAAAGCTGTAACACCAAGGGAGCTATCTGAGAAGGGAATGACTAAGGCAAGAAGATGCAGATGACACTTCTGAGTTTCCTATTTAAGTGATTTACAGGAATTCATATCACTTGAAAAAGGCTCAGGGCATAAAAAAAAGAAAAAAATCAGATTTACATGTTAATTGCTGTAAGATAAAAGAAACTTTAAGGAGTGGGATGATCAAGATGACAATTATTCACATAATCTGAAAAATGGGTTCTCACTGGAGAAGCATTGAGATCACAGCTGCCTCCTGTTTAGTTCCCATTGGGTTAGGTCCTGCACAGATGGGAAATGAAGGTGGCAGCCAGTCTTCCATTTGATCTGTGCAGGGACTGCCCCTCTGATGGTCTTCCTAGGTATCTGGCTGCAGAGGAAGCAAGTTTTCTTAACAGTCCGGCCTCACGGGCCAGCCCTGCACAGAAATTACAAACATCTGACTTTTTTAACAGCCATTTTGAAGGAGCATGCACTTCCCACACGTGAGGGCCCTCAGCTGTATCCAGCAGCACAGTGCTTTGCTGGACTGTTGTATTTGCCAACCAGTTCAGTTCTGGTTCTTGGTTTTGCCTCAGACTTCTAAGAAATACTAACATAAGGAGCTAGGCAGAATTGAGGACAGAAGTAAATATCTCCAAAACTATTCTTGCTTTTTAATTTAAGGAACAAAACACAAGTCAAACAAATTATAAAACATACAAAATACAATATTGTTTGCAATTCAGAAGAACAGGTTATCTTCCAAGATAACAGATTTTTTTTTTAAAGTTGAAGTAAAATTGTCTTAAGATTTTTTTCACAAGTAAACTTAAAAGGACAGGAAGATGACAAGCTTATCTGAACACAAAGGAGAAAGGCCTGGATGTATTTACATGTCACAAGCTGTTATCCAGGGGGCTGGACTGCAGAAACTGTGATAAACGGGGTAAACATCAGCCTCGATTAGTCCCTAACCAGTCAGTGCCACATGAGCCAACACACAATCACCCATGGAGAACATTTTTTTTCTAGTGCATCAAGCTTAATCTTTTAAGAACATGGGAACTGATAAGAGTTACCATCAGTGCTTCCTGGAAGGTGAACCCCTTAGTTTATTAAATACATTGCAATGGTTAGCCTGAACTGCCTGTGCTTGAGTTTATACCTACAAAAGTACATCTTACACTCATTTTGGTTCAGACTCCCCTAACTCAGTTATAATCTCCACTCTAAAACAGCATCTGCTGAAGCTATACTTTTTCCCCTCCAAAATAGTATTTCATTTCCTTAATTGTGTCACAATCTACATCTTCAGTTCAAGTCTTCCTGGTGATAAGATGTCCAAAAGCAAGCAGCAGTGCATTACAGAATATGCCAGACTGATTCAGTAATTCTGTATTCAGTTCTAGATTCTTCTTAGAACTGTGAAATAAGCCGGAATCCCATTTTTTTTGTCCATTACCTCCTTTCTCCCCCTTCCTCCTATTACTGGTTTTCAAGGACATTCCTCCCAGTAGGGAGGCAGGGAGATTTACGGAGATTCCTGATTAAAAGTTTGTGCCACATACTGCTCAGCCACTTCACTTGATTTCTGAATGGCCGTGAAAATGCAGTTGCAAATAAATGAGTGGCAAAGAAAAAAATCTCTAGATACATGTATCAACCACGCAGAGACAGCCCTAACCCAGCTCAAGTTTAAGACACACACCTTTAATACAGTATTGACAACAAAATATTTAAAATATGTATTAAAATGGCAATTAAGTTTTGCCATGTTATGTAAATCTGTTTTCCAAACCCTGGCCATAGGGCACACTTTTATAGAGTGCAATAGAATCAGTACAGCTGGAGAGGGCTTTGAAGGCACAAGTGGATGAACCACAGTAATTTTTCTGCCATCCATCAGCGAGGACTCAATATAATGCAATTCCCCAAGGAACAGAACTGCTGCCTGGTCTTTCACAAGGTGGCTACTATTCCTTGCTTCTCTCCACAGAGATTGGAAGCAACAGTACTAGTTTGCTGGGCAATCCTGCCTCCTAGCAGCAGACAGGACGATCCCACCAGTAAGTCTCTTACAATACAAGGACAAGGATGGTGTTGGAAATGCCGTTTTAGCACTGTGAATGGTGCCACCTTTCATCTCTGTATTTCAAATGGAGCAGGTCCCAGACAGAGCCTAACAGTCCTCCCAAGATGGGCCAATGTCCATCACCTCAGCTGGATACTCCCCGTCAGAGCTCTGTTGAATGTCCTGGAATAACAGCTGCTTCTGGAGGCTCTTTAGACTGTTCAAGACCTCTGGAGAAAGTTCATGGAAGACCACCTGTTTTTCCTGATCCTCCTCCTCTTCCTCCTCCTCCTCCTCCACAAGGTCATCAGGAGGCAGAGGAGAACATCTAGAGATATAGCCCTGGTCTGATTGCACTGACTGTCTCTGGTCTTTGCATTGGTCAAAGACCAACTGGTGTTGCCTGTCAGCCTCCTCTTGGCAGAGAGATGGCTCTGAAGGAATGACACTCTGCTGATAAAGAGAGCACATGAGTCCATTCAGATGGTGTCTCAGTTCACCTGAGAGGTTTGCAGGACTCTGCTCATCTATTGCTGAAACTTCAGAGTCATCGTGGAGGATTATGTTATTCCTCATTGGAAAGCTCCTCTCTAGAAGAGGGACTCCTTCCATACAGTCCTCATTACTCAGCACGTGATGACCAAGTATATCTCTGTCTTCTTCTATAGAAGAGACTGGCTCCACTACCTGAACTAGAGGAGCCTCATCAATAGGAAGGACCACAGTCTGAGAAGTTGGATCCCCACACGGATTAAGTTGAGGCTGCAGTTTACAGCCTCTGCTTTCATCTTCACGCATGTGGAGGTTGATCACATAACAGCAGTCAGGGTCAGGCTCCCGTAGGTGCAGCTGGTGTTGCACAATTCCACCCGGTTCACTTAGCAATGAATCCACCTGGCTCTCTCTGTTCAGTGACTGTAATTCTTCATCGTTATCCAAGCAGATGGTTTCACTCTCAAACCAGTCTGGGTGCTGTGTCTGCCAGTTCTTGAACTTTTGTACTGCCTCTTTCAACTTACTCCCACTAGGGGTATCGATGTAATTTTCAGCTGTGATTTCCTGGATTCGATGGATGCGCCCAGGTTCAAACTTCTCCAAATCCTGAATCCGAAAATAAATATCCTCAAACTTGTCCATCAGTTGGTACCTGGATGTGACGTTGAACAAATCAGGAATATCTTTCTCACTACTGATCCCCTCAAAATAGCAGACTATATACATTCCAAAACAGGCTGGCTTCTTGAAATCTGGCAAGAGCAAATTCAAGGCTGGGGTAAACAGGTCTCCCATTGGCTTTTGCTGATCTTGCTTAAGACACACAGGCTCACTCCCAAGCATGGCCTGCCATTTGGCCTGGGTGCCCCGTGAACATAAAATGATGATCTTTGAAGACAGGTCTTCCATTTCCTTCTTCTGTCGAGTAAGCCAGGGTAAGGGCCCTAATTCTGAGATCTGATGATCTTCTAGCAAATCTAAGGCTACAGCTGTGCCACAGACCGTCATCAGAAACTCCGCAAACTTCAGCACAACATCCACGTACAGCAGGTGATCAGCAGAGTACACAATCCAAACCTTTCGGGGCTTCAAGGGTGGCAGAGGAAGGTCAGTATATGGTGCTGCTGAAAGACAGAAAAATATTAGTCCCAGCCACATTCCTGAACTTGTAACGGTGCAAGTCAGAGGCAATCAACATAGGAGAATTTAAACAAAAGATTCTAGCGACTACCAGTTTTGAAGCTACTTTGGCAACATGTGCAGACAACATCTCATAGAAATTTAGTAAGAAAGTCCAGACAGTGGAGTTATGATTTATAATAATGCCTGGATGGTTCAGGGAATTTTACCATGCAGAAGTATATACACTAGCTTCAAGAGGCTTGCAAACGCAGCTATATTCTCTGCTGGAGAGCCAAGTGCACCCACTCCAAAACAATCTCCTATTGCTATGCCTTAGATGATGAGCAAAGTTTCTCTTCCCAGTACAGCCTCAGCTGGGTCAAAAATCTCACCACTTTATGAAGCAATTATCTCCTTTCTGGCAAACACGGCACTCCAAATTTCATATACCAACATTTTTATAGCTAAAAGGAAGATCTTAAGGCTACCTTTTCGTTTTGAGAAGCACCTGTAGAGTAGTAGAGACTATAAAAGCCCCTTTTTGACAATTGTATGAGACTTCCAGAATGCTTTACATGTGTTTGATAAAACACAGGCAGGACATCTTACCAGTTTGCAAATCATTATGGCTGCATTTCCTTCGCCGGTGTCCTGGAAGAGAGAAAGTCACTGTTAGTTCTGAAAACACAAAGTAAGATTAAATTCATAAAATGACATCACCTTCCAAAATTTAGGTTAAAAAAACTGTATAATCTTTGACTGTGCAGGGATAAAACAATGGGGAGGAAGAAGCCAATTAAAAAAAATATACTAAATGAACAAAGACTTTTCTACAGTCAATTTTAGAATCATAAAGGTTGGAAAAGACCTCTAAGATCATCAAGTCCAACTGTCAGCCTAACACTACCGTGCTCACTAAATCATGTCCTGGAGTGCCACATCTACACATTTTTTGAACACCTCCAGGGATGGTGACTCCACCACCTCCCTGGGCAGCCTGTTCCAGTATTTGACCACTCTCTCGGTAAATAAATTTTTCGTAATATCCAATCCAACCCTCCCTTGGTACAACTTGAGGCCATTTCCTCTCATCCTATTGCTTGTTACTTGGGAGAAAAGGCCAACACCCACCTCACTACAACCTCCTTTCAAGTAGTTTTAGCGAGTAGTAAGGTCTACCCTCAGCCTCCTCTTCTCCAGACTAAACAATCCCAGTTCTCTCAGCTGTTCCTCATAAGACTTGTGCTCCAGATCCTTCACCAGCTTCATTGCCCTTTTTTGAACATGCTCCAGTGCCCCAACGTCCTTCCTGTAGCGAGGGGCCCAGAACTGAACACAGTATTCAAGGTGTGGACTCATCAGTGCTGAGTACAGGGGAAGGATCACTTCCCTACTGCTGTTGGCCACACTATTTCGAATACACCCCAGGATGCCATTGACCTTCTTGGCCACAAGGGCACATTGCTGGCTCATGGTCATCCTGCTGTCCACCAACACCCCCAGGTCCTTTTCTGCTGGCAGCTTTCCAGCCACTCATCCCCAAGCCTGTAGTGCTGCATGGGGTTATTGCGACCGAAGTGCAGGACCCGGCACTTGGCCTTGTTGAAGCCCATACAGTTGGCCTCAGCCCATTGATTCAGCCTATCCAGGTCCCTTTGCAGAGCCTTCCTATCCTCGGGCAGATCAACACTCCCACCCAATTTGTTGTCGTCTGCAAACTTGCTGAGGGAGCACTCAATCCCCTCACCCAGGTCATCGATAAAGATGTTAAACAGGACTGGCCCCAAAACTGAGCCCTGGGAACACTGCTTGTGACTGGCTGCCAACTGGATTAAATTCTGTTCCCTACAACTGTCTGTGCTTGGCTGTCAAGCTAGGGTGGTGGGGGTTTTTTTGTTTGGTTTTTTGGTGGGTTTTTTGTGTGGTTTTTTTTGTGTGGGTTTTTTTTTTTTCCCTCTCCACAAAGAGTAATCCTGTCCAAGCCACGACCACCAGCTTCTCTAGGAGAATGCTGTGGGAGACTGTGTCAAAGGCTTTACTAAAGTCCAGGTAGACAACGTCCAGAGTCTTCCCCTCTCATCCACTAGGCGGGTCACCTGGTCATAGAAGGAGATCATGTTGGTCAAGCAAGATCTGCCTTTCATGACTTTTGCTATGTACTTTGCTACATTTTTCCTTTGGGAAAAGAAATGCACTCAAAACCAGTTTTCTCTGTCTTCTTCAGATCTGGCCAGCCTCAAGAAGTACAGAGCTCCCAATTGTTCTGCTACCACTCCTTAAGTAGAGGAGGCTTTTTTAAAGATAGTTTTTTTTTTTTAAGAGGCTCCTCTAAAGAGGTGACTAAAATGTCCCCAGCTACACCATATAGATAAGTTTGGTGCTAAGAAAATTTTCAAAAGACTTCCAGTTACTCCTCTGAGGTAAAAACCCAAACAGTGAGTTGCACAGTTTCCCTGCGATAACTGCCTCATGGTTGCAGCAGCAAAGACTAGGAATTAGTCTTTAAGCACTCAATTTTTCAACCCACTCAGTGTCAACCTCTGTGTCCTGTTTTTCTTCTTGCATCTTAATTGAAAAACATTATTTAAACTCAAAACAGTATAAGAATGAATTTTGTAGAGACTTTGGGGGACAGGAGAAAGATGATAGTCTGGGCAAACAGGAAGCTTCTGTCCTGCGAAACTGATGCAATGCAGGAGAAAAATAAACGGAAAAGGTATCTGTAGCAATCTGCAGGAAACAAAGGGCTGTACTATGAAGTTCCTTCCCCCCACCGCCATGAGCTTTGAAGCACTATGAAAATGGGGTATCAGAGAGCATAAGCTGTGGAAGGCTTTACTTAACTAGGTGGATGGTATTAGGATGTTACAAGTCCTATGGTATAAACCAGAAGATGTTTACATAGACATTATCTCAGTGGCAAGACATCAGAACAGCTGGGAAGAAAACAGTAAAAGGAATAGGTAAAGAAGTAGGAAAAATATAGTATATAGCATTGAGTCTTTTCTTCCTAGCTGATATGAGTCTTACCTGCCCGTTTTTTGGTCATACAAATCACACCTGCTATGACTGATCCCACCAGTAACACACAGATCCCAGTGATACACCAGTAGAGCCATATAATTGTATCACCTGCAGTACAAAAATAGTGCTCAGACATTGCTTTACATGAATAGAGTTTTACCAAACATCAGAAGTTTCTTCAGCAGCAGAAGTCAAGGGAGAAGGACCCCCAACTGGCCAAAACCACAGGTAGTCCAGCACTTCCCTCTTATAACATATCACAGCAGTGAATTTCTGCTTTCATGATGATGCTCTACACTTTAAACTTCCTCCACAAAGAACCATATGTACAGCACATGGAAAATACAGATCTATATCTTTCCTCTAAACAACGTTTATCCAGCTCTGACAGGCATGCTGCCCATGTCCTGCCTGTTCATGTAATCGATCTTAAAAAACCAAAAATATTCCCCATTTTGGGTGATGTGTTTTTTTCAACCTACAGGTGTTTTTTTTCCTTTTTTAATCTTGGGCAAACTAGCTCCTTACAGGTGTTGTTCCAGCCAAAGATGTCAAATCACTATGCACATGATTTATCTTGACATTCATAAAAATGAATATATGCAAGTTATTCTCTCCAAAAGTGGCTTTATATTATGCAAATGTTTTAACACTGAGCAAAGTGACAGAAAGTATTTTATATAAAGACACTTCTTGTCAAAACTGCTTCTCAAAGGATTTTATGCAAGTGAAATATCTCTAAAAAATTGTTCTTTAAGGTTCACTCTGCATACAAATACCTGCCTTGTTCAATCATGGTGAAGTAAATCTTAACACAATTAATTCTGAACTCAGTGTTACAAGGGGACATTTCCTGCCGATCAGGTCATTCCCAGGGAGGATCATTTGTTATTATACATGACAGGAAAAGACTAGTAAAAGAGTTTCAGAGTATTGGAAGAACTTCTTACCTGATGGGTCTGTACCTGCAAAAGACAAGAATTACATTAAAAATTCAGCTCTCATCTGTAAGACAATGGGAATCTGATTTACAGAAAAGTAGTTCTCACTTGGAGCTGGTGAGCATGGGATGAAAGCAGAGTGTCTCAGACAGTCTGTGCCACAGTTTGCAAAGAATGGCTGAATCTGCAGTTGAAATAAATTCAGAAAACAGAAGCTAGCAAAAGCAAATTTGTTTCCCAATTTACTTTCCCTATTCCTCAACATTCTCTGTATTTTAGAATACACACACACACACGCACACCCCTACATATATATATAAAAGTTCTTTCAGCTATGGTAATTATTTCCCTGATTCAGGTAATTTTTGATTAGCTAATCTCAGAACAAAACACTGTGAAAAACCGTAATGTTTCTAAACTGCTCAGTGTCTTGTTGGTGAAGGACAGACACAGGGACAACAGTGAGATCCTACCTGTATTTGGTAGTTGCAGCAAGCTCTTATGTTCTTCTCTATTTTGATTGTGACATTCACTTGCTGTTGCAGTCCACCCTGCAGGAATCAGATGCAAGTTATAAGGAAAGGAAAAGAACGGAATGAAAGCAGGAAAAAAAAAAAAAAAAGGACTTGACATGAGAATGTGGAGTGATCCAAAGAAACAGACATTTCTGGGGTTTTCTTTTTGGAACAAGAAGCCCACAGAGAAATGGATAAACGGTCTGGCCACCATCACTGCAGGTGTCTTGTGTGACAGACATGGTAAAACAATTAAGGCAGCAGGCTAAGGTTGCACAGGTAACAGGAAACAATTAAGGATGTTCATTGTATAACTTCAAATGTGTTAAACTTAGTTTCTTAATGTAAATGTCTTCAGTTATTTCATGTGTAAACATTAACAAGCTTCCTTGTTTAATTAAAAAAGGTGTCAACACTGCTGTTTGTGACACTAGAACAGATAAATATGTTGTCCTTGTTACCTGCTGTATGCAATCAATATCTTGAGAATCTAAATATATTTTTACAATGAGTAGCAGATACATACTCCAAAATGAGGTATATTCCCCTCTGCCAGGGAGAAGGCAGCTGTACCAGGTGTGTCAGTAATAACTTAATACATATCAGTGTATGCAGTACAAAATGTTTTAAGTGTGGAAGGAATTGAAAGATTAAACAAACTGAATGCCAACATATCTGCCCTCCCCCAAGGAAGGGTGGGGACTAGTACCAAATATTCAGCATTCCTCCCCCCTTAGATGCCTGAAAGCAGAACATTTATGTCAGAAAACACACTGGATCTACTTTGAGCTCCTCAGCAACACAGGCTGTGAGACCTACAGGAATTGATTCTCCATTTAATTGAATCATCTGTTACAAAACCACTCATTCTTGATCTAAGAAAAATTAATTAACTCCCTCATCACATTTGAGAAACTACTTCGGTGATTTATTGAAACTTTGCACCTCAGCTTTGATTGATTGATTTAGTCTTATCCCCCAGGCATTGGCTTGACAAAGGTGATCAAAAATCAAATTCTGGTTTTCTTTGCAGATGTTTACAGATTGCTCCACGCATTATAAAACCTCTTTTTGATCTTTTATCGACTAAATTCCTCAAATAAATTTCCCCTTTTCAAAGGTAATTAAAAACCTGTGAAAATAATTCCTTGAAAATTGTTGTTCAAGTACATTTGTTACGCCTTCTACATTACAGCTCCAACTCCTTGTTTAGAAAACATTAGAGAAATGTTTGTCTAAATTACCACAGAGGGCATAATTTAGGAAGATCATTACCTCAGTGAAGTCACGTGTGATCACTTTACACTTCTTCTCATCCAGGAAACTGGCCACATGAATTTGGTATCGGGCTGACTCCATCCATGGGTTAAAGCTCACAAGCAAAGTTGTATCATCTAGACTTTTACCTTGGATCCTGGGCTCCCACAAACTGCCTGGAAGTAGTACAGATATTACCAAGTTTCTCAACTGTCAGAAATATTTCAACAGGGCATCCATATTTACATGACTCAAAGAGAATTTTTTTTTACCTGTCTTTATACATGACACGGTTCTTTTCATTAGAGAGTCCCTGCAGTCTGCAAGAAAGACCATCAGTGACTAGTAAGAAACATTGTATTTCCGTTTAGGAAAAAAAACCATTTTCTTATCAGAAGCCAGACACCTAACTAAGCCCTCCTCAATGAGCAGAGACCTTTGTTCCAAAGCAGTAGCAAAATCCTGCACCAGAGTAGCATTGGTTTCAAATGGGTAAACTAGCCTCTCCACTGATTTTATGGTGGATTTTTCCAGAACAGCAATAATTAATAAGACTGAAAATATACAGTACCATTATAAGAGTAATCTTTGACAACTCTTGCTAATGAAAGACTTGTGCAGAGAGGGTCATAGTGAAATTAAAACTTCATATTGATCTCTAGACCTTGAGAATGCTACAGCAATAGTTTCTTCCAAAAGCATTCTGCCCCAGGAAAACTTGGAATCTTTCTTGATCCCAAAATACTCTTCCATTTTTATAATTCTCTTTGCTTCATTTAGCAAACTGGCCTTGCTCTTTGGGACTTTCTTCAGAGTCAAATCCAGAGCTGCCTATTTAACATTTAGCAATATGGGAGTTACAAGTCTCAACCTAAACTGTGTCTCTCCGCCAGGGTTTGGACACAAAGGAAAAGGAACAACTCCCTACCTAAACAGCTGAAAGAAAACATTGTATATCTTAAATTTCCAACTTTCAAAGTTGAAAAATATATACTGCCCCTGTAATTCATATGTAAGGTCTAGTCAACAAAGCTTCCCTGTAACTGCTGAGCTTGACAACAATGCACTAAGTTTCCAAAGAACTGAGGAGGATAAAAGCCAGGAAGTTCTCACTATGACCAGGCATAAGAAAGGATGAGAGGGCTGAAAACCAGGTGCCCTCTCTCCTTTCCCAGTTCATACTGACTGACACACCCCATACTTTGCCATTTTGTAATTACAAAGTCATGTTGACAACTGTAAGAAAGTGAAGAAGATTATGAACCACTTCTCAAGCTATATTGGGTGCCAAATCTTTATAAGCTAGCCAGTGCAGCCAGAGGGCACTGCAGATGCTCAGGATCTTCAGGGAAAACAAGTTCTTTTTAGTTACAGGAAAATTTTCATATGCACAAAAGGTCAGGCACTCAGCTTTATGAAGTTTCTTGGTAAATTATGCCTAACTGTGCCTGATTTGGAAATTCTGGCCTATACTTCCCACTTCCATAAGCAGAGGGGGAACTTTGAAAGACTTAAAATTAAATAAAAGCAGCAGCAATAGTCTGCAAAGAGCATGAAATATTACTCTACAGCCTTAGTCACGTAGATTAAATATCTTTGTGCCTGCTCCACTGATGAACATTTCAGCAATAAAATCCGGGTGTAACTTACTTTAAAACAGTTCCTTAGAGGAACACCTACACTAGTTTTCAGGTTTAATTATGAATTTCTTTTGTCATAGCTGTAGCAGAATTCTTGACAAGCTATAAATGCAATTTCTCAGAAATCAGAGGCTTCCTAGAGAGCATATGGATATTTTTATAGCAGTATCTTCCATGTAGGAACTACAGTCAACTGGAACCAAGGGATCTGGCCTTCACAAACTAGTCCCTCCACATGCACCTCATTCCAAGCAGAGATTTGACAAACTGCTAGACACAGGATCCCAGAAACAAGGATGGTGACTTGTAGCACAAATGATACATGCACTTTTGATACATACCACAGGGGTATTGTAGAGGAGGCTATCACCATTGACTTTCTAAACAGCAATATTCTGAAAGGCAACAGGTTTTCATAATACTGTCACCCTATTGCTAAACTTGCTCACAGTTCATGAGTCTGGTCTGGAGAAAAAACCAACCCAACTACAGGTCCACAAAACATCACAGTCCTAGAGCATCTCTTACCAGGCATTGTGAGAGACATAGACTTGCAATTGTAGTCTCCATCTACACCAAGTTTGGGCAGGTGGTAGATAGTCACTTGGTAAGTCTGGCCAGGATCCACTTCAAAGCGGTCAAAAGTGAAATTCCACTGAAAACAGAACATGTTCACAAGGACTTAAAATGAGAATGTTGTCCTATAAAGGCACTGAAATCAACAGCCGACTTGGTCCTGTTCCACTGTGTTGCCTCATTCCATATGACCCTTTTTTCTGAAGTCTGACTATAAAATAAAAAAAAAAAAAAAAAAAAGGAACTCGGGTGTATTAAATGTACCAGTCCCTTGGCCTATCTCAAATTCTTCTCTTTGGAATGAGAAAAGTACAATTATTTCTTGGGATTTCTGAACTGATACAACCGTCTCGGGCCAAACAACTGTATGGAGCTTCCACTTAATGACATTCTGAACTGAAAAGAAATAAGGATAAGATATGAACTTTTGAGACTGAGATTCTAGTCTAGTACGAATCTTGCAATGCTGTGCAAGTGCTAAGCATTTAGAATTGCACTTAAAAATATATAGTTCTGTACCTGGTCATTCCATACCTATTTTCTTAAACCTATACTGTTTTCCACGTATCAGCAATGCTGTGCAAATTCTGTGAGAGAATTCTGGCTTCAGATGGTGAAGCAACTCTGGCCAGTGCTGCGTTGTAAAGAACGAACTCTAGATTCCTATTGTTCATAAAGGGAGCTGTGGATGCTCTGCATTTTTCTCATGAGTTTCCTACACTGAGTGTAAGCTGAAGGATCATCCCCAAAGTTGGTGCTTTCCTCCACAGCAAGAGGTTACAAGAAAGAAGTGGAAGTAAAAGAAAGGGCTGAGTTAAAAAGAAGGCTATGTCACAGCTGTCAAGCAGAATGCAAAAACTCCTACAGTTATTTGCTTTAAGCAACATCTAGAATGATTACATGAGAAAAACAATTCTTAAAACCTGAAGAATGGCAAGAGTGAAAGAAAAACCAAGATAAGTAACCAGCTTGTACACAGTTATACACAAGTATAAAATGAACTGGAAAACAAAAACAGGTCTCAAGCTCAATATCTTAATTGTTTCATCAGCTCTTCTAACAGTCTATATTTTTTTAATCAATAACCTTGCTGTATGACAGTGAAAGCAGAAACAAAATCATGGACTGGAAAAAGTAGTTTAGAGGCCTTTGTACTCACCCGGCCTCCATCTGGACGAACTTGAAGTGGCAAATTGTTCTGAAAGTCAAACTGGGCACAGATCTGTTGATTGCTGTTCACTTGCATCACAGCCAGCTCTGCCCCTCGGAGATACCGGATGCTAGCTGCAGGCACAGGGACAGAGAGAGATGTCTTTTCCCATCCTCTGCATGTGCAGAGGTTGCAACACCCACAGAGATTACTGCTGTGCCTAGTCTTGCCGCAGTCTCTATTCTGAGAGTAAGAGTGCTGGGGATCCCAACACAAAGATAACTGGCCATGAAAAAGTGAGTGTGCAAAGTTGACTAGTAGCACTTTTAGCTTAAAGGTTGTCCTGCATGTCAAGGACTTTGTTTCCTGTGCAAATGAAGGGGGAGAGTAGAAGGCAACCTCATTCTTCCAGACACCTTGCCAGTTCCACAAGTTCAGTGCTTTGTTTAGCTCTGCCTCTCAAGGCTGCTACATGCAGTTTGGGCACTGAAGCAAATACGCTTTTATTTTGGTACAGACAACCCCAATGAGAAAGTTTATAACCATAGCCACAAAAATGACTGAGTTACCTGAGTAATCAGGTGAGTCACACCTGCTTCTACACTACTATAGCTATACTGAGACAATAACTCTATATAGCCCTTGGACACAGGGCCTGCAGAAGGAAGAAATGAATGTGCTTATTTCTGTCTTGAATCAGTGCAAAACCATGGACAAGAGCATGCAAAAGAAACACTATACACAAACAAACAAAAAGCAATCAAAGATATTCAGAGAGTGATAAACTATGATTTACAGGTACTCATTTAGGCTCCAAAAATGAGACAATTATACCTTTATCAAGACATCTGCATATATGAAACCTAAGTTACAAGGGCTAGGTTACCTGAAATGGTAGGAACTTGCACTGGGTTAACAGAACATAAACTATTTGTGCTTTCTCAAATTCTCATTTGTTCAGTTCACAGATGTAATTCCCCCGCACAAGACTGCTGCAGTCATTACTATGCCTTGAAAAGGCAATGCTTGCAGTGTGGATCTCCTTTCTCCCCTCACTGCTGTGGTAAAGGTATGGGTCTCTTGATTCCATTTTTATCTGCTTTTCCCATTTTAAATGTCATTATCCCATACTAGTGAAAAAGGCAATTTTAAATTCTTGAATACCCGGAACACGCAAGGCCCTCATTTAGCCACCAAGAAAAAACGAAATCATCTCCTCAAACAAAAAAAATGAAGTGGCCAATCCCCAAAATTTCAGAGCTCTGCTTTCATGACCAAATCAGTAAGAGATTTCAAGTCATAGTTCTCCTCCTTATCCTTACTGGATCACACCTAATTCCTCTGCTCCATGTTCAGAATAAAAAACTACCACTTACCATCAGTGGCCACTTTCCATTCTATCCGAAGCACAGGGAGCAGGTTTCCATCCATCTGACGGAAAACATCAGAAGAGACGTGAAGACTGCTTGGAGCAGAAGGAGTCCACACAGGAACCTGCAGCCAGCTCACATCCATGCAGGTACCTGTCCAGTAAATGAAAACTGCCATTTAAAGCAGGGCCCAGGAAGCTCTGCTGAACTGCATTTATGACCCTTTGGGTCAGCGTTGCTCAGAGGTCAAAACTGGGTGACAGACTGCTTCACAGTTCACAAAGGCAGTTTTCAGCATGCACATACTTTATAAATTGTCTGTGATATTCTGAACTCATTCTAGTAACTTACACTTCCTCTATTGCTTAAAATCCATTAGTAATTACCACAATCAATGTAGTCAGGTTAAACAGGTCAAGTAAGTTTACTCAATGGCTTGCTGCTGAAACAGACCTATGTTAGATGCCTAGTACTAATTCCCAGCTTTCCAATGATAAGAAGTCTGCCAGATACCCAGAGAAATTGTTCAAATAGTTAATTACTTTCTGTTTAAAAACTGCCTTACTTCTAATTTGAATACACATCTGAATCAAGCTTCCAACAACTGCCGTTATGCCCTTCCTAAGCTAATGAGCTCTCTGGACAGAAAAATAATTATGCTAGTCAATACAGTGTAAGAGACAACCGGTCCTGTAATCTCATCAGAAAATGAAATCAGGTATGACAAGCATTAGACAGACATGATCTACTTAGACTTCTGTAAGACATTTGACTTATCAGAGCATATTAAAAATAGCTCTGCTGAATATCAGTTAAGCACAAACACAGGAAGAACTAGGCTGACAAATCAAGGAGGAGTTGCTAGTGGGAAATCATTACTGTATGAATGTTTTCAATAGCTCTGCAGGGGTGAGCATAGGACCAATGCTATGCATTTTTCTAAATATCAATAATCTAGAAGTAGATATAAAATAACTGATGATAGAGCATATGACAACTGTCAGGCTTGGAGGAGGGGAAGGCAGAACTGTCAATAAAAACAAATCTGAGTCACTTTGTATATTGGGCCCATTCAGACAAAACACCTCTTGACACACTGTAATACAGATCTAAGCACATGCAGTGTAGGCCATATTTACCTACTGAGAATTTATAATGTCATTTATTTATAATAGCACTGCTGAAAAACTAGCAGAAAAACTACCTAACAAGAGCTGTGTCATGAAACCTGTGAATCAAATGACCAGGCTAGTGCAATCACTGAATATATCAAAAAAGAAGAGAAAAGGTTAAATGATTATACAGGTTTTGGAGAGATTGGTATGACATTCTTTAGCATCCACACTAAACCACTGTGACATTGAAATGAGAAGAACAAAGAGCAACAGAGTAAATTTGTAGGTTGAACTCCTCAAAAGCAAACCATGTTTTACTACCAGTTTCAGCTGATAGAAATCCACGCTGCTAATGAGGTTGTTCTCTCGGTTACATCTTCAATTTATTCCCTTGCATGAGGTCAAACAATCATGGGGCTGTGTGATGATTTGGTTCACAAGAATGACCCTCCAAACAAAGATTTCCCCATTTCCCTGGTGGGCCACTCTGCCAGGTAGAACTGAAGGAAGCAGTTCAGGCTGTAGGCCCACCACCATTGGCACTGTCCCGAGGGAAGCAGGGACACAGGTAAGGGAAGCACTTTCCCCCAGCATTGTGTCATTACACAGTGCAGTCAGGACACCTTAACCCCCCCATCAAAGTACACTTTCAGTGCTAGGAACAGTGGAAAGCGGGCACTATCGCTTCTTGTGACAGCATGAGTTTAATCCCTAGGAAGTAATTAGACAACCCTCAAATGCTCATTCTACCAAAAAATATCTATAGCAAACCTGATAAGATTAAAGTACCTTTCAGAAAAGAGCATACTAAACTAAAAAAAAAAACCAACTAACCAAAAACCCCATCTATTTCCTGTAGATCAGAAGAGCATAACAAGAACCATAAGGCAGAATTTAAACCAAATATTGAAGTAAGGCAGCATTTTAATGGTGCAGTTTGGCTTAGCTGTGTTGCCACGCTGTATTCCAGTGGCCATCTGACAGTGGGAAATATGATCCAATCTGATCCCACCCAATCCCTCTTCTGCCAAGGAAGTTTAAAATCTGGTTATTTTCAGCATAGTGATCTCCCTAATCTGGCATGACAAGCATGGCTACAAAAATACTTGTGCCAGTATGATACAGGACTGGGCACCAAGGCAGCAATGAGCTTGCTTAGAACAACAACTGCAAAGAAAGGCCAAGGAATTTGGCAGCACCGTCCAGATGCCACCATGTATCAAAGGGACAAATGCAGAACATTCTCTCTTTTTTCTTTTTTCCTAGAACATTACCCACAATCATACTGTAGAGTTTCAGTAGCGTACCATTGCTAAGACTTGACCCCTTATACCGGATATATCGATGAGATTTGTTCAGTGGGACTTAACAGTAACTCTAGTTTCCTCTTCCCAATCATAGAATCATTTAGGTTAGAAAGGACCTTTAAGATCATCAAGTTAATTCATTGGACTTTATGCCAAATAATTTACATTAGTTGCTCTCAGCTGCATCCCTTTATGCCCCTTTTTAATTCTACTTTGTACATGAATTTTTCATCTAGTATATAATAGATACAACAGCTTGTAATGAACATTTACTGAGAAACGTGTCATAAAACTCCCATTTCTTTGAAAACTGACCATCCCAGCTTTAAACGGAAACTAAACAAGTTGGGTTGTGTTCCACACACTCCACCCCCAAACTCTATCCTGGACTTAACTTCCCATTCTTCTTCTAAGCTGGAGCTGATTATGGATCTAACCCAAAACTCTCAAAAGCAAGGCATGACAGCAGTGCTTCACTTTCCATCTGATTCTAGCTGGAAGAACTTGCTGTATGAATCTAGTTAAAAAGCATTTTTAAAAAGCACAATCCTATGAGAAAACCACAATGAAGAAAAAAATTACTTACTATTTCTTACGAGGCAGTTTAAATTCTGTGGGGGAAAAGAAACAAGAATATTACTCTCAGAATAGAAACTGGATTGACAGTAATTTGCTTCTGCTTGGTGGCAGGAGTGGGGCAGGAAGAAAATAACTCGGTGAATAGTGACTCATACAAACCAGATGAATTAACCATCAAGACACATTGCACGAAGTTGTTATTCAGAAAACCAAAGGGCACAGGGCATGAAACCTGTGCACACCTGAACTGCATATGTGACAGCAGTAGTTGCAATAATGGAGAGGAATCAGAATGGCAAAAATGCAAGATGATGATAGCGAAAACCTTCCAAAATCCAGAACTGTGAAAACAGAATCTGGTGTGACATGGAAGACTGCTTGAAATAGATGGTTTTTAAGCACCATTGCTTAAGCACTGATCTTGCTGGTAATGCTTACAAGGTCTAAGCCCATCTGACTGGAAGGATGAGCTCTGCAGCTAGGCTTGCCACTGAAGTACTGGGTTATGTACTGCCTACTCCAGGGTTGCTGTGCTGAGCAACTTATTTCAAACATAAGCAGAGTTCTACTAGTATTTACAACATTACCACTCACATTTCAGCTAGGCTACCTGCGTTCCTACAAACGCTGAGTGAAAGCGGGCAGATTTGGCATTAAGCTCCTCATGCTTATATGAGAAATAAAACCTGAAAGTATCTTCCAGGCTTTAGTTACACAAGTCAAAAACAATACACAGGGATAAAGTCAGCCTTCAGGCATCCTTCACAAGCAACACATCCACACTCCAATAAGCAATACTACAAACTTACATAAGATATGGCATATTGAAAAGGATTCAGTGCAACAACCAATTAGAGTAATATTGATCAACTCTATTATTGTTTAGGATATAATTTCAGTCAGTTCAAAGGAAGGAATCTGCCTAATTGGGCACTCTGAACTTATATACAAATCTATGTAACAATTTGCCTGAGAACTGAACTTTGGTGAAGAATTGTCTTCCTAACAGCCAGCTAGCAATGTTGTATTTTTCAAAATGAAATGATCTTTGCTGCACTAAGTTAGGACTAAGGCAACATCCCAGAGTCAGAACAAATATTCTGATTACTTTGTGCTGTTGATCAAAGTTTCCTGGAAAAACAGATCAAGCTATTAAAAAAAATTACTTCTAACTCTTCAAATACTTAATCAGACTTTCTTAGGTAAATTATTTAGCCTAACAATGCCTCTTGCATAAACAGGTGGAGTGCGTTTGGGTGGGCTGGAGTTAATTTTCTTCACAGAGCTGTGGTGTGGTGCTGTGTTTTGGATTTGTGGCCAAAACAGTGGAATAACACCAGGATGTTTTAGTTACTACTGAGCACTGCTTTTACAGCATCAAGGTCTTTTGTGTTTCTGACACTGCTCCCTCAGGCAGGTAGGCTGGGGCTGCACAAGGAGCTGGGAGGAGACACAGCCAGTACAGCTGACCCCAACTGACCAAAGGGATACTCCAGGCCATATGATGATGTGCTCAGCAATTAAAGCTGGGGGAAGGAGGAGGGGACATTGACAGTTATGGCATTTCTCTTCCCAAGTAACTGTTATATGTGATGAAGTCCTGCTTTCCTGGGGATGGCTGAACTGATTTCCATCAGCAAGCAGATGGATGACAATCCCTTACTTTGCTTTGCTTATTATGCACACAGCTTTTGCTTTACCTATTAAACTGTCTTTGTCTCAATCCTCAAGTTTTCTTGCTTTTGCCCTTCCATTTCTCTCCCCATCCCACTGAGGGGAGAGACTGAGTGGCTGTGTGGGAGTGAGCTGCCACCTGGGGTGAACCCACAACAGGCAGCAAAAATAACTGGCTACTACCCATGGGGTTTTGTTTATAATTTATTGACTTCTGTTAAAACCTATCACTTAATATTCAGTCATTTTGCCCTTTTGCTGTTGCAATTTACAATAATTACTGATAACTGCATCATGATAAAGCCCTAATATAAATAATGAGGCATTATTTGCCTGAAGACCAGCAACATCTGCTTTCATTTAAGTGCTGGTGTTTCTGTTTATCAGCAGATAAGACATGGGTAAATAAGGAAGTGTTGTGTTTCCCCTTTTTTGTTTTATGATCAATATGAATATTGAACTAGCACAGTGGATAAATGGAGTCTCTCTTCCTCCAGGTCTACTGTCTCAGGTAAAGCATTTGCAATGATGTTCCCAGCACTGATGAGGCTGTGCCCTTTCTGACATTCATTAAAAAGCCAAGAGCTTAATCAGGAACTATCAGTCGGTTGATGAGGATTCAGAAATGAGACTTGACAATTAAGGTCTCTCTTACCTTTCAACACTGGGTTTCTACACAGACAAAAACTAGTACATTTTCTGGTGTGTCTCTGTTCCCCAATCCTACTCAGGATTTTCAGGGGGCTACCTACATGTTTTTCTCCTACCCCACACTAGTCTGTTTACCTGCTGTGCCAGTAACATTATTCATATGTAGCTGACTATGTTGGAGTGTTTTAAGCTGCCACCAGTTAGTCAAGAATTTAGCAACTTTACCACAAGAGATGGGGGAAAGGATTCTCCCACCACACAGCAGCCTGCACCAACTCAGTTGTTGGTCCACTCCTTTCCCAGTCCCCAGGGATGTTTAACAGCCCAAAATGCCCAGAAGAACAATTTATCCAGTCAGCAAGTCCTTGCTGTTGGCACAAGGAAGCAAAGATAACAGAAGGAGAAGATAAAGCCACAATGCAGGCAGAGATATAGCAACCCCAAATGACATCTAGAAAGCAGTCACCATGAAAACCCTCATTTTCTTGTTGGATACTGCCCAGGTGAAGTGAACTGGACTGGGCTGTGCTGCAGCTGAGGGCACACTTTTATACCAAGAGAGTGTAACTTCAGAGGAGGACATCCAACAGCCAGAAAGCAATTACAGGAAAGTTGTTTTTTCAGTAAAATAAGTCAACTACTTCCAGATATGCACTGGCTACCTACTCAGCATGAGGGGAAATACCTGCTGTTTTTCCTTTGCAAAGGTCCAACCAACCCAAAACATTATCTGATGCACTGGCCCATTCAGGGTGCATTAACAAAGCTGTGGTCAGCAGAAGTATTTAACCAAGGTTCTCTACTTAAGCAAGCACAAATTTAGACAATACAACAGAAATAAAATTACAGCGATGGCTGTTTCTGCTCACCCACATAAAGCTAGCAGCATGTAAGAAGTGTGGACAGAATTGAGACCTGTGTCAGACTGCACACAACAGACAAGTGGACAAATGGGAGAAGGAACAAAAATGAAGAGCTCTGCAGAAAAGCTGAGGATGGAGCCCACAGCCAGGCAACATGCTCTGCATGTTATTACAGCAGAAGGAGCTTAAATTGAGATGTTCTCTTTTTATCAGCTTCCTATTGCCCTGAAGGCCCAGCAAGCAAAGCTACAGACATAGGAGGCACAAATATGAGAACAAGATGATTGTGAGGTGATGCCCAAAACCATTAACAGCAGAAGGGGACAGGCACAGTTGACTCTTCATATTTAGTTGCTATATTTTCACAGAAAGCTAAGTAACTGCTTCTTTCACTCTTTTTTTTTTCCCCATGATTTTTCTTTCTTTTGACATCAAAACAGAACAGACCACATGCCGTGGAGAATCATATGAATTTGAAAAAAATGGGAAACTGATTAACAGCACCACGTCATAACAATTCAATTAAATTAACAGGAGGCCAAGATTTCCCAGCAGGATGCTGTAGTAACCAGTAAGAAACTGCTGTGAGTTGGGCAAGTGTCCAGTTTTCCTTTAAAGAGCAGCTGCCAAATGGGAAGGACTCCAGCTTCCCAAAATCTGCCTCTTATGAGCTATTCTATGCACCGTCTGAGACTTGGGCAATTTGAAGTTTACTACAGTTTCTCTTTCCCAAGTCCTTAGTTAAAAGGAGCAGAGATCAACAGAACATGAACATGTTTCAGGAATGACTGCTGAAAAATCATTTGTTTAAGGCTGGTAGGAAACAACTTTCTTCTACAAAATTGATTTTTTAAAAGATTTTTCTCTGTGGTCTCTAAGTTTTTCTCTTGCCCTTACATAAATTCTCAGCAAAATCAAATTCAAACTCAAAGGCTGAAGTTTTTCACAAAAATCAGGTTCAAAGTTTTCTCTATCGTATTTTGGTAGTTTTGATCACTAACCCTTTTTATGCTGAAGTTAAGTAGATTTGATCACTAATCCTTTCTGTGCAGAGAAGTAAAAAAATATTTTAGCAGCACTAAGTATGAACCATGGCTTATGGTAACAGCCTACACAGCAAAAAGATGCTGCAGCAAAGCGGAATGAGAGAAGTTGGTCAACATCAAAGGGAAAATGAACACATTTGTAAAGGAGGACCAGGAAAAGTCTTCCTCATGTGCACCATCATTGGTCACCTTCACAAGAGATGTTGCATCAGTTCTTCTCTAGAGACTTCTAGTGAATATCCACCAAGATGGATTTCAAAGACCAAACTATGTTTGTCTATCCAGCCCCTTAAAGATGGCAGGGTTATAAACCCTGTATTCCTCCAGGACACGAGGCACGCTGTGTCGTGAAACAGTTACAGCCCAATGACTGAACACAGCGATTAAACACTTGATGGTGAACAACCAGATGGGTATTTAAGCTGTGGGATGTTTTTCCTGTGTGCACAGAAAAAAACTTGAACACCACCTCCCTGCAAATTACGTACTTAAATAATAGTTACTAGAAGGAACTGGATTTGCAGCTGTGCTATTCATCCTTACAGCTGAGCAGGTTTGATGGAGTGGTAATGAATAAGGCCCATTAAGTGCACTTGCTGGCATTTTAATAAAATGACATGATAACGAGCACTTAAGTTTTACTTTTGCAATTTACAGGTGTCTGCCGATATTGATACGACACTTTCCCTCCATCTCCAAAACAGCCTCTGGCACATGAGAGTTTTGCTGAGAAAACCGCTGTTGCTCACCCTGACCTACTCCAAAGCTCCACAACAGCAGCGTTGAGTGTAGTGGGTTAGAAA